GCAGTTCAAACTGAGTAACAAAGGTTAAGAACCACTGGTATAGGCAGTGGTTCTCAAACTGGGGTCCCCAGATGTTCTTGCACTACAATTCCCAGAAGCCTTCGCCACTTGTGCTGGCCAGGATTTGTGGGAGTTGCCATCTGAACATCTGAGGACCCCAGTTTGACAACCACTGGTCTAGGGTGGTGGAAAGAAGGTAGAATAATAATGGATCTTCACATTTTAAAAAGACTAAATAAGACGTTCTTTTTTTTGGCCTCTTATGACAGCATCTTATCTACTGCAGACAAGAACAAAATGCTTCCTGCTTTCTTCAGGATATTAAGTGAACATTTATTCATATGCAGTACAATATCATAGAATCACTTTTTTACTGAAAAATTAATATGGGGAAGTGGCCAACAGCAACTCTAGACCAAACCAATAATTCTTCCTCTTCCAGTTCCACTTTATTTTACATGTCTCTTTTAATATCATAATGGTACACATACTTTATCTGGTCGGCTATATGTCCTATTTTTCATAGGACAGTCTCATATTTGAAGGATCAATAAAGTGCTGTTCTGTAGCTGAAGACAACTTCTATTTGAAGGTCTGTTCAGTCCAGAGTAGGCTCTAAATTAGATAACCCGAAGATGGGAGAACATTGAAAGAGCCTGGAAGTTCCCCATTACCACTTCTTCTGTGATATGTGAAAGATCACATGCACTATCCTGCACTTTACTTTTTAATTCCAAATTTATGTAAAGGAAAGGCTGCAAACATATATAGATTTCTAAAATAAAGAGCATAATCAAGAAACACAATGTTCACGTGTAAGCCCATAAATAGAAGCCCTTACCTTCATGGGAACTGTGTGTTTTGGCAAAGTTGAAGACTGTTTCCCCTTGGGCGGATTGGAGCTGGATAAGACGTTGCTTCCAAGGGACAGGGGGCGGTTCAGAGCCTGCACACATCATTTGCAGATTAAAGAGCTCTAGCTGGAAGGCTTTGGGGATGGAACAGTTGTAGATATTTGGATTGTAGCATAATAGTTGTTTGTCTGAACAAGATGAGAAGTAGTTAAGAGAGATGTTATCATAAGGCAGAAGTTAAACAATGCCCCTGTTTTGAAGAAGTAATAGAAGCGAGCTTTGAACAACGCCATTTCTGTGGAGAGATTGATGGAATCAATATCAGGAACATCAAAGGTAACATGCCAAAGCTGCCAGATGGTATCACATCAAGCAGAATCTGATCAGTACAGTATTTGTAGAGTACATTTTCATTACCTATTTCTGCAAACTGATCATATCGGAATGTTAGGCAGATCACTGTCTGTCCATTGTATTTTCCAGTGTGCGGATAGCTATAGCCGTCTTCAGGAAATGGAGGGAACTCAGGAATACTGTGAATAACCCAGAAACCTTGATATTGGTCCAAGAATAGAAACCCTGCCATGAAGGGAGAAAGAGAAGATTCCAGGAAATGAGAATATTAGTGTGCCTGTGTAGCAGGAGGAGGCCCAACCCCCAAGCATAATATCCTATTGTATCTTCCTTAATAATAAAGGTTTTGTAAGCGAATATACAATTTATTGTATTATCTGAGGGATTTCCATCCATTTATTTCATCAGCATTCATGAATTAACCTTTCGCATGTACAGATGTATATTAAAAAAATCTGTTTCCTTTTAAAAAAATATTTATTCTCCAAAATACAGACAGCAACATATCATCATTATACAAAACAATACATATTGCAGAGCTGGTATCTCTGCACAGTAACCAACCTTATGCAGAAAAATTTATTCTGTTTATGCTTTGGAGAATAAAAAACAGGCACAAAGATGTTAGCTATCTTAGTCTGCAGGTATCTTAGTATGTTCATTATATAAGTGGGACAATAACAATATTGGGGACTTTAATTCTTTCATAAGGCCAATAAAAAAAACTATGGCAAAGGTAGGCATGCACCCTCATTTGTGCTTATTTCTACAGGTGCTATTTCATATGCAAATTTTCTGCTTGAGAAAAATCCTATGTACCGTAGCAATAACTATTGGCAGCAAAATACATAAGAAACTAGGAATGCAGTGTCCTCTGGCTCCAGAGTTAAGGCATTTTTCCCTCTACATGTGTTTTTTATGTTTGTGCGTATGAGGCAGGTTGAACGGAATGAGATTTAAATCTCCCCAGCTTCTGTGTGTGATGCTCCCAATCTGGACTGCAGTCCCGCACATTTGCTCAGAACTAAGAAAGTGACACTGAGCTGCATGCTACACATTTAATAGAACATGTACTACAACTCTGTGGGATTTAGACACTAGGACATGTTCTACATTATAAATCAGCTAAATGTATGTCAGATATTGGCTGTTCCTTTAATTTATTTGTGGTTTAAGTTATAATAAAAAGAGTGTTTATCTTTACAAAGAGGAAAAAGGAGTTCCAAACAATTTACAAATACCTTTAGAGTGTCCACGAGTCCAGCTATAATTCATGTTGTTAGGTGGGCCATCATTGTAGATCACATACGCAGTATTGTTCTTCTGAAAGGAGACACCCCACACACTTCAATATTTAATTCAGTTCAGAACGAAAAGGTTGTTTTTAAACAATGACATCTTCATGCCACTTGTTCAAAGCCCATATAATCATCTAGACAAGGGGTCCCCAACCCCTGGTCTGTGGCCTGGTGCCAGTACGTGGGCTTCCCAGGACTGGGGCGTGCAGACAGATCTCTGTCCCACACACGCACGCATGGCATGTCACACTTGCGGATGGGCGTGTCGCACTTGCACGCACACGGGTGGGCATGACATGCTTGCCCGCATGTGCGCAAGCACGACACGCCCACCTGTGAGCATGGGAGTGCCCCCACCCCCTGCGCACGGANACCCCCCCAAACAGTCCGCAGTTCCCAAAAAATTGGAGACTGATGATCTAGACGGCACAGCTACAGCATGTGACCATGTGAAGACAAGTCTGCCAAATCAAATGGAAGGAAAACCTGTTGCTGTGGCATTATGTCTCCTTGCAGTTCATCTGTAGTGGAATCTAAGATGCAGATCCATTTACATTGTGAAGCTTCTCAGGGATACAAGTTTATCTCAGAAACAACTTACTGCCCAGCCCTCAATTTTCAATTTTTTCATACAGTGCTTAGCCAAAGCAAATGTTTAGGCACAAGATAATGATGGTGATGCACAGCATTGCTCTATTTTTTAAAATTTGTAAACATTTTTACTCTGCCTTTCTCCTAAAAAAGGACCCAAGGTGGCTTACAGCATTAAAAGACAATATTTCAAAGCTAAAAACAGTAAGTACTGTATTTATATCCCGCCTATCTGGTCGGTTAAGACCACTCTAGGCTCTAAATTATTAAAACATTTTAAAAAAATTAATAACATTACTATTAAAAGTGTTAGATAAAAGCATCACTAAAGCAGATTTAGAAGCAACAAATTGCAAACTATCCAGACAGTCAGTTGCTAGGGAAAAGTCTGCTTTAAGAGAAAGATCTTCCCTTGCTTGCAAAAAGACAGCAAAAGATGGGGCCAGCCTGGCCTTCGGTGGGGAGGGAGGACCAAAGTCTAGGAGCAGTGACAGAGAAGGTTCTCTCCTGTGTCCTCACCAAATCCGCCTGTGAAGGTGGTGGAATTGAGAGTAAGTTCTCCCGGAGGATCTTAATACCCGGGCAGGCTTAGCAAGGGAGTCATGGTTTTTGAGATCACTAGGACCCAAGCCAGGTAGGGATTTATAGGTTAAAACCAGCACTTTGAATGGTGCCTGTAAAGAAAATAGACCACAACAAGCAAAAACCTGCTGGTTGCAGCTGGAATTCTTGCTTACAGTGCTGAAGTAGGTTGGCTTTGAGCTGATTCTGCAAAACATGGTTTGAATTCTTATATTCTTAGGAAAGAGTGCTTCCTTATGTATTCGCGAAGGCTTCCTTATGCCTATTAAACACAGGGTAGTTCCGAGACTGCTCTCTGGCTTTGAAACCACAGGCCAAAGGAGGTAGAAGTATCTGACGGAGTGGACTTGTCACATTGGCTCACATTAAAATATAGCAGTTAGTCTTTAAGGTGACATAATATTTTTCTCTTCATTATTTTTTATTTCGTTTTGGCCTGATAGGCTAGCACAGACTAACATGGCTACCTCTCCTAAAACTACAAATTCTCTTTTCAAAAAAACAGCAGGATGTCACATGATCCAAAACCAGCCCATGTTTGATCAAGAACATGATCTAGAAAAGTCAGCAGCAGCACGAGCAGTGATAAACTCCCTCATGTGAACCAGTTGGTGACACACCCTGGGACTATCCTGACATAGCCTGATGTCTTTCTCTAGTGCCCAGTATTTCTTCATGTTGGGCATAGCTACAAATTATCTCTCCTGCTTTGAGCTGTCACAGTGGTCCCTAGTACGCAGCATGTAAAATTACCCTCCTACAATGGTTGAATACAAACCAGTACAAGATGAAACTTTTGCTAAACATTTGCAATGTGCTTTCCCCAGTGTGTTATAATTGGTTGCATATCGTTAGTTTAAATCACTACCTTGTATTTAAATTTGCCTGAGAGAAAGATTGAGAAAGATCAGTTATATACAATTAGCAACTTATCCGACTTTTATGTGTGTGTGTATGATTTAATAAACAATAGGTAATTATGAAGTCCTACTTTTAAAAAACTTACACTGAAAATGAAACAAATACAAATTGAAATATAAATTGTGTTGTGGAAAGTAGTTTCTTATTGTCATAACACAGATTAGATATTTTAGTCCCTAAGTCATCTTTTGTTGCAGAACTAGATATACAATGGAGATCTTGTCATTTGCACAACTGAAAGCAACCGTTTCACTCATATTCCACATTGGCCAGAATCCTGTTGGACTCATAAATTGTAAACCAGCAATAATGGATACAATGTGCATAGTCATGCTGGCTGTCCATCACACACTCTGCCATGCATTGATTGTGCAGTCAGTCATGCATCCATTTACATGATGGCAGGAAAAACATGAAAACTGCTTGTGCAATGCCTTCATAGGCACAGATTTTTGCAGTAAGATTTTAGCCATTGCTATGGAATTTTAGTGGAAAGTGCTTGATTCTTCATATACAAATTTGCCTTTGGACATGGGGCATTTTTATAACCTGCAATTCCCAGGAATCCTCCTTAGGGTTAGAATATGCTACCACCTGACACACACAAAAAGGAAAGAAATCTTTGTACATGAAAAGGTAATTAAATAATAAATTATTGCTGATTTCAGACGTTATTAAGACCTTAGAACATGACTGATAAAAAACTGTCTCATTCCATTAAGTGCACATAAAAATATCAGCTAACAACAATGCTATACTGTATTTAGCATCCTGTCCAACTTTTCAATTTGCATAATCCTTCCCTAACATAATTGAAAGATATCTAGTACAGTCCCATACTATTGCCAACAGTTGGCTGCCTAAGAAAGTTACTATGCATGAAAATCAACATGACTCAGTATTAAATATGACAGACGGTAGGGCTGAATACTAGAGATGGGGACAAAGCGCCAAAATGGTGCTTCGTCTTGGTTCGTGGGTGGTCAGACTTGATGACCCACGAACTGCCCCCTAGTGACCCAATGAATAATGAATCAATTCATCATATATTATTTTTTTGCTTTCCCTCTTGCTATGCCCCGTGAGGCATAGCAAGAGGAGCGGAAAAGGGATCAAAGCAATCACACAGCTGAGGGATGGGGGATCCCTTTGATCCCTCTTTGATCCCTTCCCTCCTCTTCTTATGCTGTGCAGGCATAGGAAGAGCAGGAAAGGGGAACCAAACCATCCCCCAGCCCCAGGAGAGGGATTCCCTTCATGCAGGCTTTAGCAAGCCACCCAAAGGGAAAACCCCTCTCTGCTTATGCCCCCAAGGAACTGCTGATCCACGGGGGCATAAGCAGATAGGGAACGAAGGAACAAATATAAAAGGGTTATATTCGTTCCTTCATATTCATTGAGGTCTCTGGACCTCAAGAATACGACACAACAAATATCTGACGAATCAGGGATATTTAACAAATATCCTGATTCATTTTTATATTCATCCCCATGTCTACTGAATACCTTTCATTTCTCTCCCTCTTTCTCTCTCCCTCTCCCTCCCTCCCTCCTCCCTGAGGCTGTCCACACTGGCATATAAATCAATATATGGATCTCTGTTGCCATGGTTTGCATCAAGCCAAATGATGGCATCCACCCATGCTTCCCTTTAGCTCAATACATCTGTTGCCTTTAAGAGGTGTCCTCTACCTTTTGGAGGGGTGTTCTACTATATTTGGTATGGGTTGGAAGGCTGGAATAAAAGTCCATTCCCACTGAGTGTTGTCACTTGGAATGAATCAGCTCCTTTCAGTGTCAATTTCTGGTACCCTGAAGTGTTTTATGAGCTGCTTCAGGATCTTGGAAACTGAATAGCTCCCCTGATAATTTGTGGATGATTTTTTTTTATATCTGTAAAATCTTCCCTGAAGTGATGCATCACTTCTGTTAAATTTAGAAATTTTTTTTTACCTGTCTGTGTATTACTGAATGCAGCATTCACTTTCTCCTTCCTTCCCTCCCACTCTGCAACTTTCCAAGTGTCCTTCCTTGACAAGGCATCTACAATAAAGGTCTGTTTATAGCCTGCTAGGGCAGAGGGTCACACAACAAAAGCTGAACATCTCCCTCTCCCTCTCTCTCTCAGAACACCCTACCTTGAAGGCATCTCCACGGCTTTGGGCAGTTTCTCAATTGGCAATACACAGACAGGCAAAGAAAAATGTTTTATTTATTTAACAGAAGTGTTTCTTACAGGAGACTGTAAGAAAAAATAATTTCACTTCCCCTAACCCTCCACAGACTATCAGGGGAACATTTAATTGAGAGCAGCAAGTGCCATTTGGATGGGAGGAGTGCACCACATGGCAAATCGCTTCTCTCCTGAATTTAACTGGAACATTTAAACTCAATCCAGGCCACATTAAAATGGACAGTCTCTCTCTCTTTCTCTTTTGCAAACTGATATAACTTTAACTGTCATAGCTTTATCTTACAAGATCCTTGGATTTGTAATATGGTGAGGTACTTAATAATTCGCTGCTAGAGAGCTTTGGTACACACACACACTGAATTATAGCACTTGAACTCTGTAGCATAGACTTGTAAGTCCCTCATCAAAGTATGAACCATGAGATTTCATAAGTTGGAAGCATGGCAGATAAGGTAGTATCAAATCAGGATAGCTGAGTAGTGTAGATACATTTATGGAGCCTTCCTCTCTAAATAGTTACAGTACAGTACTTGGTTTCTTACCAAGATTTCATCTCTCGAGTTTTGGAGCTTTTTTTTTTCAGACCTGCTTTATTTGAATTTGTTTCCACTTGCCTTGTATTTGTAAGTTTGGTAGAGCTGCTGTAATGTTTGCCCGAGAGCACTCTTTGTCATGTTGATGAAATATTCACTCCGTTTCCAGGTTGGAGCCAAAGCATCCATAAACATGTATTCTAGCCCACTGCCAGGCACGTCAGAACCCACATACTTTGGGAATTTATAAAGGATATACCTCGTGGTGGGAAAAGGAAAGGAAAGGAAGTATTAGTGGGAATCATCCTTTTATTAGGAGTAAATTGCAAAGCTTTATGAAAAGGCAGTACACAAAACATACAGTTTGTTTTGCCTTATAAATAAAATTATCATAATGTATACCTGCAGTTGGCTTAAAGGCAGTGAACAGTTTTTTCAACTACACATAGCTCAAACTTCAGATTTGCTACTATATGCATCAAAACAGCAAGGTAGCAGCCCGGTATTGCTTTGTACTGTAGATGCTTGGTGGAAAATATAGGAGACCATCAAGAAAGAAAACAAAGGCTTGATCTTTGCTGCACAAGAACAAGCACTCCAAACTAATGTCATGGAAGATAAAATTCAGTTAATTAGTGTACAGTAAATAGCAAATGTCAGCTCTGTCGAGAAAAAGATGAAACTGCGTCACACCTCATCTGTGAATGTTCAGAGTACAAAGCTAGACATGACAGAGTTGCAAATTTAATACACTGGTTATTACGTAAAAAATATAATTTGCCAGCATCCAATAATCCATGGGAACATCAGTTAGAGAAGATGTCAGAAAACAACCTAGTTAAGATCTTGTGGGACTTTTGGATTCAAATAGACAGGCACCTCGAGCATATTACACCAGATGTAACAGTAACAGAATGAAAAAATGTCTAGAGATCATGGACATTGTAATTCCAGGGGATGCCAGAGCGGAAGACAGAAATAACTCGCTACTGAATGAAACACATTTCAGTGGTCCCTATAGCCAACGGGGCATTGAGGTCAATGTCACGTAATTTTATAAAATATTATAATCAACTGCAGAGCTCTGAAATGACATCATTACAGATTTTGTGGGAGGAAACAACCTTGGATATATTAGGAACATCATACATAGTACACTAATATACAATTGATATTTAGATTTTTGGTTGAAACTTTTATCTGTCACATAATATATAATACCAGTCAAAGACAGTGATGTATATCACCATCATCATCATCACCCCACTTCCAGCCACCAGGAGTTAGGAATTCCCTCAATGTGAGAGTTCATTTTAGGAGGCAGGAGTCCTGCTGCACTGTATCCATGCAGTTACAAGGGACTTTATCAAAGCTGAACTTTTTTCTTGTTGCACAAGTGTATCGGCCTGCAAGCAGGGTCATTAACAAGTTTTTGTTGCAGATATAATTTCAGTGCTGTTACATGAATGCAGGAAATCTCTTACAAGCTCACGTTAGGTGATGTTTGGGTACGTATCTAGCAAACTGCAGTGAAACTGTTCTTATATATAAGAACAGGTTTGTGAAAACTTGTGCAAAAGAATAAGTTTGTGTGCATTTTCATCTGGGCTAATAGAATGTTTTTAAAAAGCTACCCTACCACATTGCAAGAATGCTCCCTTTAATTCCATAATCAGTGCATTAAAGCAGAATATGAGAAGAGTAAAAGTTGGGACAGATATGAAATGCATTTGCTCAAATTTATTTAATCTTTCTGCTAAGTGAAAGATTTAATCTTTCCGCTATAGATAAATGCATGCTTCACCAGATGTAGTACTTAAGTATGTTATATTTATTTTGTGCAAGGAGAAGTGGCTTTTATGCAGTAGTTTCACTTCTGCTCCTCATAAGATACTTCATGCCAAACAAATGTGGAAGCCAGTTATGCTTAATTGTGCATAACTGACTTGAAACATTTGCATGGAGTGGAGAGTGGGTGAGAGAGTTTCTTTTTGTTTGTGTGTGCATGTGCGTGTTGCTGCTTGTTCATGTGTTCTTGTTTTTATGCAGCTTATACTCAGGTTGAAAGAAATGCTACAATATATTCTGACAATATTTTAATTTTTCTGTTAATGCCCATGTGCCTACAGACAGTATGTCTTAGCTGAACCTGTTTCTGCTCAATTAGCATCTTACTGTAATATGCTAATTTGTTCCTAATAACACCTGACTTCTGAGGGTAAGGAAGGCGTAACAACTGCACACTCAGCTAATGACTGGTGACTAGATAAAGGATATTTGTATTCGTCTCCTGGGGGGGATGAATATGAATATTGTCCGTGGAAGTGGCTGGGCCCTTTCAACCCATCCCCCAGAACTGTCCGGTCTACTTACTGCTCCCGGAGCGGTGTGCATGGCTGTAATCCTTCATGTCGCGACAGTCATGGAAGTAGCCCAGGCAGGGCTTGCCTGCCTCCCTGCGCTGCTGACCGCTCCAGCAAGGATACGGGATGATGAGTCTTCCCACTCAGCTGCTGAGTGGTCAGCAGTGCAGGAAGGTGGGGAAGTCCCGTCTGAGCTACTTCTGTGATTGGTGCGGCACTAATGACAATGGCTGGGTGCGTCATGCCGCGAGGGCTAGGTGGACCGACCAGTTCTGGGGCTGAGTTGAAAGGGCCTGGCCACCTGTGGTGGCGATATTCATATTTATCTCCCCCAGGAGATGAATACGAATGTTCCATCTCTACTAGTAACACCATCAAATATTTTGATATCAGGAGTAACATTTTATTTCTTAGTTTCAAGGAGTAGAACACTTTCCTGAAGCATTTCAGGTGTGTGTGTGTGTGTGTGTGTGTGTTAATTCTAGGCCATTTTCTTACTTTGTTAGATGGCGCTCCTCAAGAATCTTAGAAACAATAAATAATACCCTAAGTAATATAGCAACTAGCTGATCTTTTTTCTTAATGTTAACAGTAACAAACCTCTTGCTTGTGTTTTTTGTCATGAATTACACAATGAATTAATTTTTTAAAATCAAATTGCCAAGGTGGGCTTTTTTACGGGTACAACAGGCTGTCTCCAAAAATCTCTATAGCCCTTGGGTCTTATTTGGACGATTCAGATGGATTGTGGAGTCTGAATTTTGATAATGGTTTAATATACTTTAAATTGTAGATGTAATATACTTAAAGAATTTTAGTAAAACGCAGTGCAACATTTGAATGATCACTTACACATGACAAAAAAAGAGAAATGTCTTACAGTATCCCTAAAACAGGACAACTGACTTGCCTAAAATATGCAGTTGCCTGTGGATGTGCTTATACATCCACACATGTACACACACACACACACACAGAGAGAGAGAGAGAGAGAGAGAGAGAGAGAGAGAGTTGCATGTGTACATACATATTTGGAAATAATGTATGCATACTTTGGAACTCTTACTGTAATTAAATAGACTGTGACAAGGTGACCTGTATGCCTCCTCAGTCTATACTGTGTTGCTGAAAATGCTTGATAGGCAACTGCTCTTCCTTTTTACAGTTTTTTTTTAAACCTTTAAACTAGACTTGGAGTAGACATCCTTCAAACAGAGGAAAGCTTCAAATAGAGGACCACCCACTGTAAGGTTGGGCACATGGCCAATCTGAGTTGCATACCATAATTCCATAACATTAAAAGTGTATTTATCCACTGACAGAAAATAGAAACATTTAAGAAACTTTGAAAAAGTTACACTCAGGGGCAGATGATTAGATAATAATGGAGGTTGCACAATACTTCCCAACAGTGAAAAACACTAGGTCCACTGATCGAGAACAACCAACTTATTATTTCTTACAGAGAGCTACTATGTCAGAACCTGGTAGCAATTTGAGTTTTGATGAATGAATCAGATGATTCACAGAGTTTATGTCACTGTGCTAGGACTCTCAAGAGCAGATACACCTCATTACAAAAATGGTTAGGCTAGCAACATTTTTGAAATTTCCCTTGTCAATCCTGCATTTCTATAGAAGGAATTGAGGGGAGAAAAAACAACACCAGCTATTTCTGTGAGGTGTAGCTCAATGTACAGTATGTTCTATTCTTAATGTTTCTGTTTCCCTAGGGTTTGAAATTATACTGCATGACTGTTTTTCTCCCTTGATCAAAAGAAACAAGCTCTCTGTGAATCAATGGCTATTGTGCAATTAATCATTCTGAAATGACATGCTAAATTACATAGACTCCTAATCAGATTTTTGTAACCTATATTTCATGTACTACCCACAGAGTTCAAAGGCTATGCAGTTAACAGCTTCTGATGTTAATTCACTAATTATTTTCTTTTACTTGGGCTTCATAACGTTATTTCTATTAAAAATAACCAGTTAGCTTCTGCTTCCCCCAACCGACCTTTTTTTACTTACCAGTCAACCGGCTTGCCATCTTCATTTATGCAGGAAATGCCAGTTGTCCATAGGGGCAGGGTAGGACCAAGTAAGAGCAAAGATAAGCTCCATAAAGAACTGACAGTCATCTTGGCTCCATCAACAGATCACAAAGGGGAAGCGCTGCTTATGAAGAGGCTTGTTTATCTGAAGCTCTCTGGCCCTGGTCTTTCAATTTAGTTTCGTTTTACTGTCAGCTCTCAGTAGAGTGAATTGAAACTACAGTTAGGTTGGAAAGTGCAACATCTGGAAAGCCCATCATGCTATCACAGAAGGAAAACCTCTGTAGTTTAAAACACACAATCAAAATAAATTCAAAAGAATTTTACATATTTACTTGCCTCTAATCATCATCTTTCCTGCAAAGGTGTTCATTTTAGACACATAACAAATATGTGTGTGAGGCTCCCAAGATGGAGGCCATGATAGGAGTGCCGTCGCTACCGAAGAGCACCCATCACCCACAGACACCCCCCCCGCCATCCCCACCACGACGGGAAGAGAAAGGTGTGGAGACCCCTGATTGGGGGAAGGAAAGCGTCGGATCCCTTACCCTAAATAAGGGGGTAGACACCCATGACTTGGAGGAGGTCATGAAAGAGTTAAGAATCACCCGGGAACCGGGGCGAGTTCGGGCGGGAAACAGAGGGGAGGAGATTGAAGCGGGGGTAGGGGATATAAGAGGAAAACCGAGGGATATTCCAGGCGGTTGGGAATGGGTGTGGATGGAGGTCCCCTGGACCCATACGTGGGAACAGGTCCGGGGTCCTCATGAGGAAGCGGAGAAACGCCGGCAACTAGGATTGAACCCCCGACCCTCTTATTGGGGGGAAACGGAAGCTAAGGAGTGGAGGAGAAAACTTCGCGAAGAAAGGGAAGCCGTCGCCAGAGAACTCGAAAGAAAGAAACAATGGCATATCGCCGAGTTGAGGAAGCTGGGGGGGTACCCGGCCCTTGGGGTACCGATGGAGGAGAGGGAGCCTCCTGGGATGGCTGGAGTGGGGACGAGGAGACACTGCCCTTGATCTCCTTGGAAGAAGCTTTGGACCCTGGACTGGGGTCTGTGCCACCTACAACAGGCCCCTGGAATCCAGAGACGACGAACCCCTTTGTAAATAGTTTGTGGACACCGTTAAAGCCAAGTCATGTTTTACAAGAATCCCTGAACCCCTTCGTAGGGGGAAATCCGGTTGATGTTAATGTGGAAACAAATACAGAACCTTTTGATTTACCTCCAATGCCTCGTCCGTTTATTGGGGAGAAAACAGCCCTGCCAAACGAACCCTCACAATGTGAAGTAGAGTAGTTTAAGAAATGGCTACTAATCTGAGGTTAACCACTAAGCTCCATGACCAAGCACACGTAAAACAGTCAATATACCTTTTTCTAGTCCTACTGATGTTGGCAAAAGGCATTGCATATCCTAAACATTTCCATATATCATTTTCTGGTTCCGTCTTTACACAAAGAATGAGTGTAAACAATGCTGGCAGATGCTAATCTTTTCAGGTTGACTGAAAATCCAAGAAACTAAGAAAAATATACAACAGCACATCAACATCTCATTGTTGTTAAGAGTTCATCAGCAGCCCAAGGTGTGATTGGAAGCCAACTGTGCTTATGTCACTTGGTTTTCATGGCTTCACTATTCAGCTCTTAGTGACTCACATTTGGATGTGTAAACTATTCCCATTGCAAAGCATTGTTTTACAAAGGAGCAAGATGATAACACAGTGCAAGTTTTGCCTGTCTTTGGTGATGACAGACATTCATGTCACCGCTTGATATTGCAGTTGTTAAAGAGTGAACATGCATGTGGGAACTAGGCCAGAGAGCCTGTGCTTCATCCAGTACTTTTGCAGCACAAAGCAGCTTTCTTTGGTTATATACATGAGCCCTCAAGTACAGTGGTGCCTCGCATAGCGAGGTTAATCCGTTCCGGATTAACCTTCGCTATGCTGAAGCATCGCTGAACGGGGCAGCGATTTCCATTGGAACGCATTGAACATCGTTTAATGCGTTCCAAATAGGCCAAATACTCACAGTTCAGCGAAGCTTCAGGATGGCCGGCAGTCATTTTCGCGCCCTTGCCTCGCTTAACGAGGGCACGAAAACGCTGCGCGCGGCCATTTTAGGCCATTTCCCGGCTTCCGGCGGCCATTTTGGCCGCCGAACAGCTGATCGGCGGGGGGCGTTTTGCGAAGATCGGTAAGCGAAAGGCTTACCGGTCTTCGCAAAGCGAATTTTTCCCCATAAGAAAAACGTTGTGCGATCGCATTAGCGATCCGAAAAAACGGATCGCTATGCGATTTAATCGTTATACGGTGCGCTTATATACATGAGCACCACTGTATACCTTTCAATTATATTATACAAAGAACCCTTTGAGGCCTTGGTGCTGGGCCAACAGATAAGTGGCATCAGCTCCATCATAAAATAAGTTAAATGTGAGAGAAGTTCTCTTCCAAACTAATTTTACATCACAATCTTTGTTGTAATGCATTTGTCTCTCATGATTATATGCTGTGATGGGCACGCACTAGTTTCATCCATTTTAAATTGCTGGCTGTACGTGCATTTTAATAGCTGTTATGAAGGTGATGTGTTGGCAAGTTTTGCACCAGCTATTCTGGTAGGATCCTATTGTGTGCTAGAGATGAATTTGCCCTAGTTCTGAGCTTTGAGAAGCTTTCACAAATGATGAAAATGATGGCAACAATAGTGACATCATCCCTTCTGAATGGAAAGGAGGCATAAAAGTAATTTAGGGTGCAATCAGACAGTGATAAAGGATTATATCTGATCACACTGGACAGAGTCACTTAGCTGAGCATGATCTCCCTTAAAATGACCTTTCTGTGCATACGGGAATCACTCCAGCCCAGCCCCAAAAATGGATAGGCCTACTATTGCACCCAAAAAGTCCATGTTGGGCCTGGAGCAGGGTTGGGCCGGTTTGCTGTCTCCTCCGTGTTGTCTGATCAGTGGAAAATAGCTTGCATCAGACTGTGCCACAAGCTGTCCAAAATGTGAGCTCTCTCTGATCACACCTACACTTGATTTGCTTGGCCAAGGTGTAAATCCAAGCTCTATGCACACCATAGCATTTCAGGTTAGCTACACTGCATTTATAAAGGTAAGTAATTCATGTCATGTATTCTCAAAGGCTTTCACGGCCGGGATCTGATGGTTGTTGTGGGTTTTTCGGGCTGTTTGGCCGTGTTCTGAAGGTTGTTCTTCCTGACGTTTCGCCAGTCTCTGTGGCCGGCATCTTCAGAGGACAGGAGTGAGAACTCTGTCCATGCTCCCAACAACCAATTCATGTCATCTTGTGTTTGCATCATTAATTCCTAGCAAGGAATTAACCTCTCTCCCACCTCATTCTCATAGATACTACAAAGCCAAGCATTTTGTACCCAGGTTGATTAAAAGCCTAGTGCTGGTATGTGCATTTTTCAGTTCTTTCTATAATCAGTATGATAATGTCTATGTGGGTGTGGATGAGAAAGAAACATTGAATCCGTCGGCATCCTGAGATCAAAGCCTCTACATGTCAGTTCTGAATCTATATTGTTTATTTCTTCATAAAGGATCTTTTAATTTTGCTTAGCAAAATTTTGTTTTAGGTGTTACATGCTTATTACAAATGCAGATGCAATCATATTCATAGATGCACAGTAGATAACTCATTAAATTAAGAAGTCCAGTGTACATGATAAATTAATGGTAATATTTTACTTACTCCTCATGTAATTAACAAAAGGGAAATATATACAGTATATTGCAATGTCTCTTGGTGATTTCTTTCTGTCACTCAGATAAATACATTTTATCAGTAATTTTCCACCTCGCCTTTTTTCTGTATAGCCATGTGTCTGCCATTGTAGCTGTTGCCCATGTTTTTCAATAGTGTCTCTGAAGGAGGGGACTCCTCTCTTTGACATTTGCTCTGAGTTATTTTGGCCTTGAGATAATTTTAATAGAGGGCTGTTGAACATTTTTAACGGAGCAACCTTGTCTCTGTACTGTGCCACTCTAGGCTGCAGTTGGGGTGCACTGGACAGAGTGTTCCTTCAAAGTACACATTTCCTTCCCTAAGGCTGGAAGTACAGCTTTGCAGTAATCCAGAATAAAGTTATTTACTGTGGATTAACTGCAAACAGGCATTGCTAGCAACAAAACCCAGTTTTAAGGTGCACAAATGTAAAGAATTGCTGGATCTCACAAAACAAAGATGCATGGAATGTGCATTAGAAGGTGACTGTCCCAAAAGTGATGGGATTGGGGATGTAGATGGAGAGAAGAGAGAAAGGTAGGGACCATAAAGCTCAGAATTTGGGCTGGAGATGCCTTGAAGGGGCACCTTGTCCAAAGTTCTGAAGGCAGCTCCAGAGGATTCGAATGACTTGTGTGCACTTGTCTGCATTACTCTCTCTCTCTCTCTTTCTCTGTGTGTGAGTTCCCTGAAGCTTTCCTTCTGGAGGAGCTTTCTGGAAGGTGTAAAAGTTGGGGACACACTCTACTTCAGATAGGATAAAAGTGTGGATAAGATGCCATTTTGAAACTGAAGTAGAACTTGCATCATGTGCCTTGACAAGAGTTCCTAATGGTTCCATCCAGTTTTCTGGATTGTGTAGTTTTGGACATAGAAAATATTCCTTCCATGTAGAAAATTATATGGCAGAAATCAGAGTGCAGTAAATTTCTATGTGAGGATAATGTGTATGTATATATATGTACGGTGGGTGGGGTGGCGGACACATTCACCCCTGTAAAACCCTTTGCTGCATTGCTGAAAGGATGCAACTCAAATGTAGGTTTATCACCTTGATGTGAAATAGGCATCAGTCTAAGAAGACAGAAACATCATCATTTGTCAAAGAAAGATGTGACATTTCACGTGGCTCCACTGACACTATCCCAGGACATTCAGCCTCCATTTGCCCAGCCCCACAAACACTGTGCTTGAAGGTGAGGTGCTGGCCTTGTCCACCCTCCCTAGGAGACAAATTAGTTTTAGAAAGCAGCTAAACCTGTAGGTGAGGTGCCAAGTAATTTCATCCAAAAACCTGTACTACAAGAGATGATTCTAGCCTGGAAACTTTTATGTACAGTACACACTCAGCATTTTATGTGCAATTCAGCTGACACATATAGGACTTTGGTACAACACCTTAATGGAACCTCTTTAGAAGACAGAGAGTGACACCAAAAAATGTGGTTAAACATGTAAACAAACACATCCATATTTAATTTGTATGTGCTGCTATTTAACTAACCACCAGCTATGAGTGTTCAGGTGAAGGTTGGGGTGAGTCAGGTAGAAATGTTGAATTATGATGTAGAAATATTGCTGTTATACAATGGGAAGTAAAGGCAGATGTACAATATAAAGGAGACATTTATCATCCCAATCAGTCAATTTTAGTATGATTTCCCAGATTGCTGGTCAATAATAGTTGTGTTAGAACCAACCAAAGTATCTCGGAACAGCGTGCAAGCCTGCCAGTTCTCATCATCAGAGTGAATGGTACAGAAGCAAGGAGGATGGTACTGGGATTGGTGGTGAAAGGGGAAAAAACAAAGAAATAACTAGACAGAAAACCAACCAACCAACGAGAAAAGGTACAAAAATTATGTTAAATGTTGTAGGCATGGAATCTTCATTTCAACTAAGTATTGAGGTGGAGATTACAAATGTAATGGATTCATCCATCTTAGGTGTGTAGGTATGAGGTTGTTCCCAGAATGGAGCAGGGACTCACTACTGTTTTTGGAAACAAAAGCCCAAGTGAAGCAAAAAGGATCCTGCCGAGGCAGAGTGTGAAAGTAAAGAGAAACATGACAGCCTTTGTTTTAGCAAATTCAGACCCTAATCACAGAGTTGTGTATTTTTCCAATCCAGCTGTAGCACCTCAATGAAAGAATTAACTCCACTTAGAGGCTTAACTGGTGCCAACTGTAATTTCATTTAGGCGCCAAGTTAAAACATGGTTATATACCAAGGCCTTCGGGGATTAAGGTTCATAGCTTTCATAGATGGTGGAGGCTCTTTTACTGTGGTTGGTTTTTAATGTAGGCAATTTTAAAAGGTTTTAAATTATTTAATGTTATTTTTATAGTTGTACTCTGCCTTGAGATCATAGGATATAGGGCGGAATATAAATATTCTAAATAAATACATTTTAAAATATAAACCCAAATTATACCAAAGTATATTGGTAGTGTTTATTCCTAGTCTCTGAGCAGTGGGAAAAAAATCCAAGGAGCAGATAACACTTGCCCGGGTTTAATCTAATCTAAATTAAGACAGCCAGAATGGTATAGTGGCTGACTCAGCATTGAGAGATCTAAATTCAAATCAGCACTGAGCTATGAAACCCATGGGGTCACCTTGGGCCAGTCACCTTCTCAATTTGACCTACTTTGCTGGTTTATTATGGGCCTAAAGTAGGAAGAAGGAAAGCCATGCATGCACCTTAAACTCATCAAAAGAATTATAGGATAGAATTATGACTAATAAAGAACAAAGAAATAAATTTCTCTTGCAAACAGATTACTGGGACCTTGTGGCATTTGAATTTATTTGCAGATGTATAGATTGAGAATAGATGGGGGTACTGTTTAACACAACAGCAGATAATAAAATTTGATTTCCGTAGAGACATCAGATTTGGTCTTTATCAGGTTTCCAGAGAGATGCAGCCCTCAAAATGCTTTCCAAGTCCAAATCTCAGCTCTCCCTTCTATGGTTCTACCCTAATTTTTTTTAAAAAAAACAAACCCAAAAAACTACAGTACAGTCAGTCTCATTTAATTTCATAGACAGATAGGAATGACAGAATGTATTATTCTTAGTTTGGGAAAAAGAGGTGGGAAGATATATCCTCTTCAAAAGATTTAAGGAAGAGCTTTTATTGGGAACAGTCAGCAAGAAACCTTTCAGCTCAATTCAATCCTTAGTCTCCAGCAGAGCAGACCCATTGGAACAATAGGATTTATAAAAGTGTTGACTTCATAAATCCCATTCATGCAATAGGACTACTCTATTGGATTGGGCCCTGTGAGATCAAGGTCTTTCAAGCTCCTTTGCCAGGACAATTACAGCCAGTCCTGTCTCCACTAATTATTTATTGTCTAAGCACCCTAACCATACACAACAGATTGCGTTGCGAAATTGCATTTTTTAATCATATTTTTCTCATCTTATCAAACTAAGATAGCCTTGCTCAGGTCATGTTGAAACCAAAGGCTATTAACTCAGAGGAGAAATACACATTATGGAGTGCCCAGCGCTAGGAAAGGAAAATCCTTACAAGTTGACTGCAGGTGAAAGTCACAGCAAGAGCATTTTCACCTCCTGGAGTTTGCAGATTAGCTTGCTTTGTTCTGTGATTGGTCTTCAGGACAAAAAGCACCGGGTTCCTTTAAAGTCTGGCTTTTCAAACATGATACAGTAGTCACTTCTCTACAACACTTGCATTTAAGTGTAATGATAGGCTATCTATAATATTGGTTTCTGCCTTTAATTATGATGTGGTATTTTTTTCCAATTTATTAAAGCATGATTAAGTTGGAGGGGGGCGTATGGCTATAAATAACTACACTGCTAAACTGGAGGTATTGCTTGGTGCAATGAATAACAGCTTTGATGTTGGTTTCACTGTGATGTAGGTAATTACATATTAATTTGTGCATGATTTGGACTTGAGAGTTTACTGCACACCGGGATGAACTTGCTGGCAATATTCTGCAGTTCTAGGATTATTCATTCATCCATTCATTTTGCAACATTTAAAAAAAATCACTGCCAGTATTAATCTAAGGGACATGGCAACTGTTCAATATAGTAGGTGAAAAGCCATTCACTTGTTTCATAATTAGAAGCTGTTTAATGCTAGTATAATTTTTTTGTTTATGTGGCCAATATTGTCTATTAACACCCCCCAAAGTGAGGAAGCCATTCATGCAGGAAAAGCATGCTTGAAGAGAAATGTCTTCGGGGCCAGCCTGGCTTCCTCTGGGAGGGGGTTCCAAAGTCTGGGAGCAGCAACAGAGGAGGCCCTCTCTTCCCCCCCCCCACCAAACACACCTGTGAAAGTGCTGGGACCCAGAGAAAGGCCTCTCCTGATGATCATAACACCTGGGCAGACTCATAACAAGGGTGGGGGGGAGGGATGAAGGGTGATGCTTTATGTCACTCCTCAACAACTGTTGCATTAAAAGAACAGTGATATGAGCATGAGCAGGTGATGTCAATTTTGCAAAAACATACAGTATTGAGAAGCTGATGTTATGTATTCTGGCGTGCATATTAAATGTACTATTTTATATGATGATTGCCTTAAATTAATTAAATGTAAGAAACAATAATCTCATTGTTTGTTGTTGTTAATGATGACGACGGATTATAGAAACTGATTGTGAGGAAAATTAGTTCTGTGACCCAGATACCTGCCTTTTTACACTAGCAATCATTAGCAGTCATTTTTCTATCATTTTCATCTATATGTTTGGGTTGTGTCTGGACAAAGAAAAGAAAGGGCTGTGCTATAAACAGTTTGGGCCACAGTTTGAAGAGGAGGGGACCTGTGTTGTTCCAGTCACCTGAAGCAGAGGGCAAGGCTTCTACTTGCCAGGCCTGCCCTTGTGTTCTTCCCTAGCATAACCCTGTCTATATTGCTGAATAAGCAAAACAATCTTGAAGCAACATTATATTGTGGAGTCAGCCCATTGAAACTCAGAATGATTACTTGAGCATGCTTCCATCTTTGTAAAGGACTCACATCCAAACTTTTTGCTAAGGAAGTAAGAAAGCTTGTGTTTATTATGGAAATACACTTGAGACAGGAAAGTTAATAGAAGTGCTTGTCCTAGCTGAGCTGGAGAAGTCAGAAACTAAGGCTGCCCCCTTCATATCTTGAAAACAAAGACATGATGTCTCCTGAGAGCGACTGCAAGAAAATATGTGAGAATCAACAATCTTAAGAACTGTAATTTGTAGCTGAAGGAAGTTCAGTACAGGTCAAATAAAGGACAGTCTAGGACACCCAAATATGTCCTTCTCTATCTACATCTCATACAAAGACCTACATCTTCTTAATTATAAGCTGATTTCCAGCCAGTCACCTCCAAAAGTCTCTGATTTGGGGAAGAAATTCTGAAGTGAGGAGCCTGATCTACACCTATAACCAGAGCTCGAAACTGTCACTGTTTTGGACTGCAAGTCCCCAAATCCCCTAGCCAGTCCAACCACTGGGAGTTGTCTTCCAAAAAAGGTAGATTTTCCAAACTGTGCAGGGTGGCTACATACATATTTCAGGTCTCCCACACTCTGGGCAGGAACAGTGTGGGGGCACACACACAGTTGTGTAAATATTAAATACCCAAATAATGTGTTTATAGGGAATGTGGAGAGAGAGTAAACAGTCATCCTACAATGCCTTTAAACTGGTTGAATTTGTAGCTGATTGGAGACAAAAAGGTGTTAGTAAATTCCAGTTGAGCAGGCAAAGCTCACTGAAATCTGTATCTAAAGACTGCGCTAGATTCATCTGTAAGTCTGGCATGTTTGGGATTTGACTGTCCTCAGAAACGAGACAGGATAATTTTAACCACATATAGGGGGAGTTGCAGGCTCATTTAATCTCCTCAGTTTCACAACGTTGACTTGTTTTGAGTAAGACTATGTGCTTGTTCTTTAATTACAGTCTAAGGATGTGGAATACGTGAATTCGGAATATGGAAAGAATGCTGTGAGACTGATGTGTATTAAACGGGAAGGAAAGGTACACTGCATTAAAGACCTGGAAATGTCCGTTCATCTCAGGCTGGACTCCGTGAATGAATACCTGCATGCTGACAATTGTCAAGTCATCCCTACAGATACCATAAAGAATACGATTCAAGCATTGGCCAAATGCCATGGGGTATGTGTTAAAACAATTGTTTTTAGTCTTTTATAGCTTAATATTTTCTTAGTCTGTTCCATGGTTCTCTTCTCCATCCATTACAATATCAGACATCTGGCAAAAAAATGAGAGGGTTTGGGAAGATTAAAAAATATGGGTTGGTGTAGAAGAAAAAGAGAGATGAACTGAAGATGAGAGAGGAACAATTTTGAACAAAGATGGGTTCATATATCATACTCTTGGCTAAAGGCTGAACTACATGAGTTGGCAGACACAGCAACAAAGATGCAGCATTAAGACTAAGGGCAAAATCCTATTTCTTCTCCTCATGCAGTGGTCTGTGGTGCAAGAGCCTAGCTCTTCATGCAATGGACTATGGCATGATCAGAAGAAACAAATAGGATTATGCCTTAACAAGTTTTATTTAGCCTAGATTTTCATGGACTGCAGCTCTGGCAGATACTGTAGGCTCTGGTGGAGGCTCAATGATAAACATTCTACTGAAAAACTAATATAAAGCCTCTTCATAAAATGAAATAGGCCATGATGGTTCACAAGAGAAATTCCAAAATCATTGGGGCAGAATCGTGTTTGTTATTTTTTTCTCGTGAAATGATCCATTGCATGAGCATCTGGACGGCTTCCAAATATGCATTAGATGTTGGCATCCAGTAATACCTCCTTGGACAAGCCCAGAAACTGTCCTACCTTTTGGGCAATGGGCTCTTGCAGGAGCAGTCAAAATGAGCAGGATTCTGTCCATGGTGAGGAAGTACCTTTATGAAGGTCAATTAACTATGCAACAAATGGTGGGCAAGTTTAAAGATCTCCAGGTCTCTTCAAATGAGGATAGCAAGATTGGTACAGTAAATGTTTCCTTCTTGCAGAGGAGAAGGACTATGATATGCAGTCTTAAACATTTTTCAGCTACGGTAAGTCTAGGAAGTGAAACTTGTCAGAGCTATGATTCATTTACAACTGGTAGATCTTTTTGAAGTGTACAAATAGCTTCGAAGTTAGAAACACTTACATGATAGTACTATATAAGCATTTTCCCCCCTCCAGCATGCTCTTCTTCTTCCACATGGGCAAGAACTTATTGGTTGTGTCAGCTATTATGTGGAGGGGTGCTTCAGAGAGGGGGAAAACATGGTGCAATTGACCTTATAGGTGCACAAAACCTGAACAGGATTTTGGACATCATTCTTCAAAGATTTTTATCCCATTTATGGGAATACAGTACACATGGATTATTTTTAAAAAAAGGATTATTCCCTCCCCCCAGCAGACATTTGATTTATCTATTAAAATACTGTATGTATAAATGATCTCTTGATCACCAAGATCTTAAAATGATATGTAAGAAATTCACAAAACAAAATATTCCCTATGAACAGACTAAAAATAGTTTTGAAAGTGAAATGTACACATTCTTTAGCTGTTTTATAGCTTTCCTGTGTTGCTGTTTTTTTTACTGTGTTATTATATTCCTTTCTCTTTTTGTTAACCTCTGTTGTTGGGCAGAATAAATCAACAAATCACAGTCAAAACATTTGTAATGAATTGAAACTACCATGAGACAGACGCAGATAACATCTAATCTATTGTTCTTCTTCCTAGATTAAAACAATAGAGGAGTTTGGGCTTCGCATCTGTGAACACTTCATTACATCCTTTTGCCATGTCATATACTGCAATGCTTTTATCCAGGAGGCTCCCTGGCAGCGCCTGCAGAAGGTACAACATACTTAGATACAGTATCTGGCCCTCAGTGAGTTTGTGCATCTTGGCATTTGTTTCCTGTACATAGGTGGAAATCTAAGGAGAGAGTGAAATCTACATATAGGAGGCAGGATTGGATTCGGTAGGACACTGAAGCACACTTAATATTTATAATATGCTTGTTTCTGACAGCTCTGTTGCTTCCTTGGATATCTTAAAATTCCCAGCACAACGCAAAGCAATCTTATTCACCCATGTCTCTCATTCTTTATCTCTAGGATTGTATCCCGCATGTCCATGCGTTTATGTATAGCTCTGAAGGAATTAGATTTTGTGAAGTGGAACAGACTCGGGACGGTAAGATAATCTTTTCCACTCTTTCGGTAATTTTATGTTTAATCAAAGAAGGTTATCTACAGTTGTTGATGAAGTCTTTATGTTAAAAAGTGAGAAGGAACCTTTCCTGTTTCTGTTTACCTGAGCCTGAAGAGAAGAGAAATATATTCCGGATGGCCATATTGAACACAAAAAAGCAAGTTAGAACTTTGCACTTCCTCCGAGGGAGTGTTAACCTTTCAAAGTAGGTCAGAGTTAGGTTCCAAATGTATGAGGTGCAAGCTGTTGCAGAGTCTTGAATTTTGGTTAAACTCATCTAGCTGCACAGCAGAAGTATAAGGGATTCACAGAGCAGACTATTATGGTAAGCTTCAAGCTTACCACAATAGTCCACCTCTTTTTTTCCCCATCAACAGGCACTTACACTCTCAATAACTCACTCTGCGACATTAGTTGGAGAAAAAAAAATAAAAATGTTTCATTCACTTACCGTTGAACAGATCAGTCAGCAAACTGGGAACAAAAATGGCTGCTTGACTTTTTAGAAGAGGCCGCAACTGACTCACAACTTCCAATAGACTAAGGAGAGGAAAAGAAGCTCTGAGCAGAGAGGCGTGACTCTTTTTGAATTCAGAGGCCGGAAAGGAATTATTGGTTAGTGCTGGATAGATTGACAGTCACCCCAGCCCAGAAAGGTCCCTCCCAGCCAAATGTACCAAAGGCAGCCTACAAGACCATAGAACTTGTAAGAACAGATTCACATTTAGAAGCCAATAGCATATTTCCCCTCTAATTAGGGGTGTAACTCCTTCAACATTCTGTGACTAAACAATTGGATTTCTAAAAGAAGCCCTTGTCTGAGTTAAACAAAACAAAATAAGAGCGAGCTAATATGTTAACTCACAGTGATAACAAAACAAAATAAGAGCGAGCTAATATGCAACATGTGCAAAGAACGAAAGAAAGGTCATGCTAGAAGAAATAGAAGCCACAGAGGATATCCTTATGCTTTCAAGGATATCCTACTTGTATTGTCTGGTTTGGTCTGTGATGGTTAGTGATGGTCAAGATTTTCCATGGAGCTACACAAAAGCAGCAGAGCTGTCTGAAAGCAGGCCATCCCAGTCCAGGCCCAGAACATGATCGACCATACCAGCACACCTTGGCCCTCGCTCTCATTTTTGGTTTGTGCACCAGGTTCTTAGTTGTTTACAACACTGCAGTACTACAAGTGTTATTTGTAAAACAGCCATGGTATGCTGAGGGTGTATATAAATATTTTTCCACATGCATTGGGTTTCTGAGATAGCTGTTATATTTTTGTTATCAGCTTTCACTCATGACACACTCCTACAGATCCATGAGAATAACTCAGCAAGTAACACACAGTCATCTGATTTGCAGGAAATCGGGGGGAAATACATGGCATCATATCCTTCAGAGACTAAATATTTTATTGTATCCAGAAAATATTCTAATATAACTTTCTTTGCCATATTTGACTTCTCTCTCTCTCTCCCTTTCTCATACATGTATAAAATAAGTACTGGTTAAGATTTAATAAAACACACACAGAGAGAAAGAGAGACATGGAAGCACTCACATCAGCCTAGAATTTAAAACTAGAGTGAAATACAGTGGTGCTTCGCTAGACGATTGCCTTGTGGGATGAAAAACTCGCAAGACGATTGGTTTTTGCAATCACTATGGTGCCCCGCAAGACGTTTTTTTCTATGACCGTGCTTCACAAGACTTTTTTTTTAGATCGATGTGTCGCAAGACTTTTTTTTTTTTAACCAATGCTTCGCAAGACTTTTTTTTGAGACCAATGCATAGGGAACCTCGCAAGATGATTTTTTTTCGCAAGATCACAATTTTCACGGAACGAATTAAAATCGTCTTGCGAGGCACCACTGTAAAATGTATTCCACTTCAAACCCAAATCTTCCTCATTCTCTCATTTTCCAAACAACAAAAAACACTTTAGGGCTGCTATCACTCATTACCTCTGGGTAGTGTGGGCGGTATATAAATTGAATAAATAAATAAACAAATTTGCCTAACCAAGAAGAGGTCCTGTGGAACTTGACTTACCTGATATATATAGAATTACACAGCATATTTATCTTCAAATATCGCTGCACCTTGAGGAGGAAGCTTAGAGATATAGAATAGCTTTCACTTCCTTAGTTATGTGCTGTTAAGACAGAGCAGACTTACAGTGAACCTAATAGGGCCTTCAAGGTAAGTGAGATATTTAAGGAACAACTTTACCAGTTCTATTCTCCCAGAGAATTTCCATGGCCAAGTTGGGTTTCGAACCTTGGTCCCTAGAGTCCTAGTCTGTCATTATATCACTACACCACACCAGGTAGTCACTAGTCCAAGTGAAATTATTTATTAATGAAAGGAATTGACGTTTCTGTCTTCTAATCTCTCTCGGACTCCAGGTACTCCCATTGTTTTCTCTGGCATTAAAGATCTGAAACTTATGAAAACTACCATGTCTGGATTTCAAGGCTTCTTCAAGGATAAATATACCACACTTCCAGAAAGGAACGAACGAGTGCTATCAGTAGAAACACTAGTCAAGTGGTGCTATTTGCCATGCTCAGAAGGGATTGATTATGATGCTGTATGGTAAAGTGAAAACCTCTGACATGCGGCCCCTTTCCTATCTAATGACCGGCATGATTGATCTATACTGGAGCTACTAGAATGGAAATCACAGTGATGGATAGGATAAGGGAAGTTGTTTTTTTACCTGAGGTCACATGCTAAGGGGATTGCTAAGAGATGGCCTATTTTGCAGGACCAGATAACTCCCTACCTCCTGCCCCTAGAGCAGTGGTCCCCAACCTTGGGCCTCCAGATGTTTTTGGACTTCAATTCCCAGAAATCCTGGCCAGCAGAGGTGATGGGGAAGGCTTCTGGGAGATGGAGTCCAAGAACATCTGGAGGCCCAAGGTTGGAGACCACTGCCCTAGAGCACATATTCAGTCACTGGCTTGTTTTCTTTGTGGCTTACAATCAAACCACATACACACAATGTTAAAAAAGCATAGTCTAGTATCCTGTTGCAAGTCCTGACTAGAGTCAGCTTATTGAATCAACGGAATTTATTCACATGTTGACTTACTCTTTAGCAATCCATTCAGTGGCAACATTCCTGTTATGCAATGCAAGCAAAGTTGTAAGTTTCAGTCCATTCGTTGCTGGTAAATAAAGAGCCCCCATTGCAATTCTCAGGGGCAGATGCTGGCTCAGTACAGGAATGCCCCAACTGAAAATTGTAGCAGGGATTCTTTATTTACTGATGAGGAATGGACCAAAACGTATGACTTGGCTTACATCATGCAACAGGTTTTTTGATACTACTAGTAAAATAGTGACAATAGCATGCAGCTAAATGTCACATTTTAAAAACTGATTAAGAATCTGCAGCCCCACTTTTGATTGTGACCAGCACATATATTTTTAACTATTGCACCTGTGTGTATATAGATTTATATCACCCTCATTCAGGCACACTAGTCCTGACACAATCGGAGCCACGATAGTAATAAAACGATCCTTTCCTGCATGTTATGTATATGACATAGAGTGTATTTTGAGCATTAATCTTACTACCAGTCAGCTATTTTTAAGCTTACATTTTTTCAAAGGACTGAACAATTGGAACAGATCTTTCCCTGACATTTGGAAGGATACAAATCCTAAGCATGGTGGTGAAAACACTATCTTTCTTCCTTAGGGGTTTTGAGTGTGATAAGTGTGCATTTGTTTACTTTTTGGTTGCTACTTTTAGCTGTGCACACGACACATCTTCCTTCAAAGCCATGCATTTGGGAACTTCACATTTTCTGAACGCTCAGATGAAGCATTTTGTAAGTGGGAGAAAAAACAAACTTGTATTGCAGGAACTCCCCTTTGCAATACTGTTTGGGATGCTGCTATGGTTGGGTAGCATAGTTAACTCTATCTCTTCTCTCCATACTCATTTGTCAATCTTCCCATCTTATTTCCACTTCTTTCAAAGCTGTGCATCTGTGTTGATGGGAGAACACATCTGGTCAAACTTGTACTAGTAATGCTGCTGCTATATTGTGAAACTTTTTGTTGATTTTTGGTTGCTAAGGTGGTGGGTGTGCTTTCCCTCACTGCACAGGAGAACATTCATCTAGCTACTTTTTTTAAAGCTCATGAACAGTACTGTGGATGCAGTGCCATTCCCCCGTCCCCCAGTATTATTTATATATGTTTATCTTGCACTGTCACTATCACTTGTGGGCCAGATTGTGGCCAAAGAGCATCTGTTGCATGTCTTTGGATTATAATAACCATTACTCATTCCTTTGAAGGAGAACTGCACATGGGTGTGTCCTGGATGCCTTTGCTGGGCCACCTGAAACGGGCCATTATTCACCTTCTTATCAGAAGACGGTCAACTGCATGCAGGAATACATACTGAGTGAAATTAAAGAGGTCAGTATTATTCTTTTTTTATGAACATTATGTAAACTGTGTTCTTGTAGTTTTGAGGATGGCTTCCATCAGAAACAGCTGAGCAGATGACCAGACTTTATTGGTTGAAATCCTGTTGCTCAGTTACACAAACAGTGTAACTTTTAGAGGCAAATTGCCATAAGGTAAAAAATCTCTGTAGGTAATGGTTCCCAACCTTTTCCAAGTTGTGACCCCCTTTTATTATAACCAAGTAACCTGTGGCCCTCCCCAATCCATGTGTGTATAAAAGGTCATTTTTAATGAGGTAAAGTCATCCTTTCTCAGAAAGTAGAAGGTTCTTTCTCCTGTCTTTAATATCCTGCTCTGAAAGGTCAAGGGAAAAAAAATTATTTAACAAGGCTGACAACACATATAAGACAACTTGTGGAAACCCCCCTGCCAGAAAACACTTTGCAACCTTCTTGCGCAGTCATGACTCCTAGGTTGAAAAACACTGCTATTCCCATTTCTGTTGCATACCAAGTCATGTGACTCAGTGTGGAAAAGGTAACATCTACAGAGATTTTGTAATTTACAGCAATTTTCCTCTAAAAGTTATATGTATGAGAAACCTCAAAAGGGCATCACAAATGTACCTCCCTCCCTTTCAATTTGCCTGGCTTTCTACTAGAAAAAAACCCTGAAGGTGACAAACCAAATAAAATATTACTATAAACTATTAATTTAAAAAACATGCATACAAAATAAGCAAGCAAGCCAAAAGCAAAAATATAAAGTTGGAGCCAGTCTCCCTGTGAGCAAAACGTTGCTCATGGAGCACTGTGACTAGCGGGATAGTGGTGAAGGCAGTTCTGCATCTTTCCCCCTCTGTTTTCAGCTCACGTTGGCAACAAAACTATTGTTCCAGAACAGTCAGTCCTCCAGAAGTTTGGGAAGTGATGTTGGAGCTTAGAGAGGGAAGGGGCAATTGGCGAAAATAGCCTCCCCACCTTCCTTCAGCAGGAATTTTCAATTAGATTTTGGGCCCCTCTGGGGATCGAAGGAAACTTCCAGTTTAAAGAAGGGCATGCTGAGATCCACAGCCCAGTGAAAAATGTGAGCATCCCTGTGGCCCAAACTGAGTCGCAAGAGCAGGAGAGGGGCAAGGTCTCATACTGATCATGCTTTGATTCCCTGGACATTACAAGGAAGGGAGTGGAGAAGCAGAGGTTCCTGCTAAAGGCCTGAGGTGACCTGTATAAATATGCTTTTAAACAGTGTGTAAGATTCTTGTGGCCCCTAAATGTGTGTGTGTGTGTGTGTGTGTATGTGCGCGTGCGCATGGTTTTCTTTTTCTTTTGTCTTTTCAGATTGCAGAGGTGGAAGTGATCTTATCCAACATCCACAACTTACAGGCAGATCTGTCAGCTCTCGGCTTATGCAATGACAAGGAGGTGATGAAATTCATTTCTCTTCTATTCAGTGGGCCAGACTTTTTTTTTTAAATTCTGTTGACAATTCTTCAGAAAATCTATTGTTATGGCCAGAATGATTTAACCTTCAGACAGGAGATCCACATATGTTCAAATGACCCCTTTGAACCTTATTTTCTCCAAAATGTGTTTGATATATCCTTGTTAATTTTATTTAGTTTTATGAGCGACAATTGACATTTATGAACTGTTTTAAAAACTTTCTTTTAGAACTTTTAAAAACGTTTGTTAGACTTGGCCAATAATGATTTATAAAGCTGCATGGTCCATATTTTTGCCCAGTATTCTTCTGATATATTAAGATTTAGATTTGTTTCCCAACACATCACAACTCCAATATAAGTACTGTATCTTGTTGCACATTAATATTCTTATAAATAATGAGATCAATTCTCTCTTTTTTAAATTAAAATTGTCTTTCATATAATAAGTATTGGAAGTGCTCTAATAAGACTGGAGGTATTACACAACTGAGTTGCGAAAATGTTTATATGAATTAATTGGAGCCAGTTAATCTTTATTTGAATAGTTTTTTCTTTTAACTGTCTACATGAAACTGGTTTTTCTCTTATAGATAAATGCAGCCATATATAGAAAATTTAATACTCTACATCTGAGAACATTTCACTGTGGAAATATTTAGAGAGGAGAGGAAGAAACATTGAACACAGTCTCAGAGCACATCAACAGTACAAACTGTACCTTGTTTAAGAGGTCACTGGATCTTCTCACAGAGAAGGTCTCCAACAAATGATCCTCAGGATCCTGACACATTCAATATTTCTATGAGAGTTCTATGAACTGTTGTGGAAAGACTTCCATTTTATACCAAAGGTAGCTCCCTAGCGTCAAAAACAAGCTTAAGGCAGGAGACTGATTGGGTTTTAGGAGAGCTGAAAATGTCATGGTAACTGTGGTGATTGTCATAGCATAAGCACACTTTGTCCTATTTTAATTTTTCTGAAAATAATTATTGCCCGTCTCTAATCTGGAATTGTAAGCATGTAATAAGACAGAGATCAGTTCATGGCTGCTTCCAGCATCATTTCTTCTTCTTCTAAATTAATAATTGTGAAAACAATAAATGGGCGAGAAATTTGTTGGATCTGCATTTTAATGTAAGCTGGTACAGGCCACATTTCCTTGCAGGAAAAAAAAAGGCTCACAACCCAAAACTCCCTGTTGGATGAAGCTTGGTCCTGAAAAAATGAGAACTTCACCACATTTTACCAGTTTGCAAATCTGTCCTGAAACATGTTCTTTTAGCACAAAGCCCCAAGGATATGAATCCTCCAGGGAACTAGAACTGTGGTTTTAAATTAAGAATATTTTTGCCAAACCTCCATCTATATTAGAGATTACTTTTGGCTTTATACCATTTCAGTAGCTATGGCTCCGAGAGAAATCTGGAAATGACCATTTGATCCTATTGATGGGGTACCCATTACAGTATTTGGAGCCAGACCTTCTAGTTCTTTACATAAAATTTATTCCTAAGAACAAAAAGAAGCTGCCAAACCAATTTAAATCTGTGGTATAGCTATGTCCAAAGAAGACCAGATAAATGTTCTTTTAAGTCAATTGTTGGCACTAAAGTGAGAGACCAGCCATTCTCATGTGTTTGCTTTTTTTTTTAATGTACAGATCTTTATGCCTATAGATATGCCATTTGGTGCTTGTGCATCTACACTGCGCAGGAAAAAGGATCCAGAAACAGAGTGCCACACTCCGCCAGAATGCAAGCCTTGTCACTCTGTGGGATGGAAGTCTGGCCGTAGGGTGAACTAAAAAGCCAACTCCCTCGTGAGAACATCACCTTGAGCAAAAAAAATAAAATATATTATCTGAGCATGCATTATTTACTCTGCACTTTTCTTGATATCCCGCTAGCTCAATGTGCAATTAGAAGTAACATTTTCAAAGGTAGCCTAAAGGAAATCATATGCTAACAGCATGATGAATTTCTTTCTGTTCCTTTTGAAAATCAGAGTGAATAGTAACCCACCAGAAGACAATGGGTTGAAACCAGGCACAACCAGACTTATTGTTGAAATTAATAGGTCTAAGGTTAGTCACGAGTAGCTTGAATCCAGTTGATTTCATTGGGTTTGTTCTAAGCATGACTGCGTTTGGATATATCCTAATGATTTTGCAGGCTTCCTGAAAAACAGGACTTACCATGTACAGTTTTTTCAATTTTGAGTAGCCTCTTGGTGGGTTACCATTAAAATATTATTTTTGTTTATATTGTGACAATGGCTGCAATCCTGGTGGCACAAATGTATACTGTGCAGGATGGATGATGTCACCAACTCACAACTGATAACTTTATTTAAATTAATAATGCCCTATGTCCCCCGCTTCAAGATGCTGAGGCTGCCTAGGGATCCCTTTTGCCCTAGGAAAGCCTTTGGGATGGTAGGGGTAGCTTTTAATATTGGAAAATTCCCACTGGATCACTGCTGGAGGTGCCAATTTGGCACCACAAGTAGCAATTTTCTAGCACTGAGGCTCCTCCCTGTCCCTGGTGCCCAAAAACGTCCCTAGGGCAAAAGGGATCTCTAGGGAGGCTCAAGACCTGAAGTGGGAGGAGGAATAGGACATTTTAAATATAAGTAAATTAAAAGTATCTATCATCAGATTATGATGTCATCTGGCTTGCAGAGTAAAAATGTATGCCTTTAGGATTTCAGCCATTATGTGCAATCTCACAGTTCCGATTGCGTGATTTCCAAAGGAGCTACGTTACACTGAGCCCTGCTGACTGGGGATCTGAACTTTTTCCTGTTTAATAAATTATGTATACATAAGGCCTATTTATCTGCTAAATGTGATGAATAGTAGTAGCATGGCATTCTGCATATATGGTGTTAGCTTGGTCATAATAGTAATGACGTTAATGTTGGCAGATTGCAATTTCGGTAACATGATGATGAGTATCCTATTCTAGCATTCTGCTCTTCTGGTACAGAAATCTGTATCATAGGTGGGTAAGCAAAGAGCTGCTGTATGTCTGCTTATATCATTGGTTGTAAGGCATGGTGAAGGTTCCTTTGAGCTATCTTTGTAGACCTAAGTAAATCTTCTTTAATAAATTTCAACCTATTTTCCCCCAATTAATAGTGTCTGGATTTATAAGTAAACAGATTTAAAAACCAAAGCATGTATCAGTACTGGCAATAAAAATAAATAAATGATAAAACATAACTGAGAACTGCCTTCTTTGAACAAGAGCAGAAGTCCATCCAAAACATTCCCCCCCCCTCCTCTTGATGCTGGATTGGGGGTTTCTGGAAGTTGTACTCTAAAAATGTAAATTTTCCAAGTTCTGATCAAGGGAATCTCACAATTATGCATGAAAATGACTGCTTTATTTGGGCAGAGAACTTTCATTCAGAGGAGACGCATTCTTCCTAGGACGTTGCTGGATGCCTCTTCAGCCGCTGGGTTTCAGTCTAGCTTCTGATGTTGCAACAGAGCAAGAAAAACATACCTCTTTCCTCACACTTTACGTACACCAAGCTTCCAGAAGCGAACTACAGAGCCCAGCACCAATCCTCTGGGGAGAATCTATTAATAAGAATTGTGTGCCGTCAAGTCAGTTCTGACTTATGGCAGTACTTTTCAGGCGTTTTTAGACAGAAAGTACGGAGAAGTGGTTTACTATTCCCTTCTTCCGGGGGCATCCCGGGACTGGGCAGCTTTCCAAAGGTCACACAAACTGGCTTTTCTGGAATACATAGCGAGGAACTGAACTTTTGACCTCTGGCTCCGCAGACAGATGCCCAACTCACTAAACTATCCAGCAAGCTATTACTTGGGTATTAAACTTATCAAAAAAATGCCTGTGTGATTTAATTGCAGCCTGAATTGCAAATCCACATCCTGATCGAACTTCATTCACTTATCCTCAAACTGGCCGTCTGTCCTAAACACTTTGATAAATCCTATACAGTATATATCACCCAAATAAAAACATAAACAAATGAAAAAAAAACTATACCCTTTTTGTGCTTCAGTTTCCCTTAAATGACAGTAAAACATTATTAATCACATGCAAAATGATACTATAAAACTAGAAAGAAAGAAATTGGAGGTAGGGCTAATAAACACAAATTTTAATTCCACTTGAGCTCTGGGTTTCTCCTGTCTTTTGTACAGTGGTGCCTCGCTAGACAGTTACCCCGCATGACAGTTTTTTCGCTAGACATTGGCTATTTGCAATCGCTATAGTGATTCGCAAAACAGTGATTCCTATGAGGGAATTTCGCTGGACAATGTTGGGTCCCTGCTTTGCAAACTGATTTTTGCTAGATGATGATTTTGACAGCTTCCTCCCCGCTCACAAAACAGGTGGTTTTGGGACCTAAGCTTCGCAAGACAGCGATTTAAACAGCTGATCGGCAGTTCGCAAAGCGGCTTTCCTATGGCCAATCTTCACTAGACAATGACAATTCTTCCCCATTGGAACGCATTAAACAGGATTCAATGCATTCCAATGGGGAAATGCTTTTCGCTAGACAATGATTTCTCTAAACAGAGATTTCAGTGGAACGGATTATCATCGTCTAGCAAGGCACTACTGTATTATGTTCTTTGGCCTCCATTTGCCTGAACTGTAAGCAATAACGTGTTCTCCACCAAAGAGCACAGAATTCCCCTTTCTGTGCCAAGACTTTGCTTGATTCACAGAATAGGGTGGTGGTAGTGGGAACGGACCTATAACACATAAGACCAAAGGCAACTCTTACATTGAGAGCGTTGTGCATAATATGGAAGAAAAAAATGAAATGACATAATTGGTCCTTCTTATGAATGGGTATCTCTTTCCCCCTCTGTAAATTCACCTCCTCAGAAAATTTAGTTGCTTTGCAGCTAAGGAACATCTCCATCACACAAGCAAATCTACATAGTAGCATGACTTTCCTCAGTCTTCCCAATCCTTTAGACTTTAGCTCTGTGAACCTTCATAATTGACCGTGCGACCTGGGACTAATGGGGCTATACAGTCCAAAGAACAGTTAGAGGGCATCAGTTTGGGGGGAAGGCTGGTTTAGCAGGAAATATTTGAAAGTAGCTTTGACTAAACAAGAAGACTTCTAGTGGAACCCTTCAAGCCTATCCTATCTTTGAAAGGCTACGTTTAAAAAAATCAATCTCTTCATGCCACATGGTACCTGTCACAGATTTGTGCAGAAGTTGACAAATTAGCTTAGCATATTTAGTTCTTTATCATACCTTCTCTTCCAACTGGAGATCTACTCAGTTGTTTATATTCCGCCGGATACAAATGCGGATTTGGCGCTGGGTCATCTGGGCGATGAAATTGGCAACTTGCAAAGTAAATTTCCGGATGCTGTATACATTATTGCAGGAGACTTCAATCATGTAGATCTACATGCAGTCCTCCCCAAATTCCATCAACATGTAAGGTGTGCTACTAGGGGGCTGAACACCTTAGATAAGGTCTACACGAATATTGCAAATGGATACAGGATATTACAATTGCCACACTTGGGCCAGTCTGACCATATGTCCCTGTTTTTAGCTCCGGAGTATATTCCTCTGAGAAAACAGTCAGGGCCAGTAGTCAAGACAGTGAAAAGCTGGCCGGAGGGAGCAATGGAGCAGTTAAAGGGGATTTCTGGGAGTTGCAGTCCGAGAACACCTCAGTTACCAAACATTGGGTTCAAATAAGGGATTTTTAACTGCACTATTTGAAATAACTTTTTTTTTGAACTAGTAAATTTGCTTCTACATATATGTGGGTTGATCTGTTCTTTTCAGAAATAGTCCTTAAAAATTGTATGAAGTCCAATATTACTCTTTCTTGTGGTGGGTTATTTCCCGTCTTTCTCTTTTCTACAGATCACTGATACTTCACAGTACACTTTACCTCTTTGTTTGAAAAAGGTAACCAACCAGGAGTTTAATTCAGTTTGGACATACCATTAGGTCTGAACAGCAAGAACGAAATAAAAGACTGTGCTGATCAGTTAGCCGGGATATGGACTGTAATTTTTAATCGATCCCTGACACTATGCGCAGTTCCCGTCTGTCTCAAGGCTTCCGTCATCGTTCCACTGCCTAAAAAGTTGCCTACAAACAGTCCGAATGACTACAGGCCGGTGGCACTAACTTCAATCTTAATGAAGTGCTTTGAGCAGTTAGTTCGGAAATATATTATCTCCTGCCTTCCTGATCCCTTTGATGGGCTTCAGTTTGCTTATAAAGAAAATAGATCAACCGAGGATGCGATCAATACTGTGCTTCATATGGCTTTATCCCACTTGGAAACACAAGGGAATTATGTAAGAATGCTGTTCGCGGACTTTAGCTCTGCTTTTAACACTATTATACCCCACAGATTAATAGACAAACTTAAAGATCTTGATTTTCCAGATTCTATCTGTCTGTGGATTTTGGATTTTTTAACAAATCGTCCACAAAGGGTTAAACTGAATGACTACATCTCTACTGACAAGATACTCGGCACTGGCACTCCACAAGGCTGTGTCCTTAGTCCACTACTGTTCTCCATTTATTCATCGGATTGCACCAATAACCATCCCAGTAATAGGATTGTCAAATTTGCAGACGATACTACACTAGTAGGACTTATCTCTGGTGATGATGAGTCTGCGTATCGGGACGAGGTATTACAGCTATCCCGCTGGTGCAAAAAAAAACCCCAATCTTTTATTTAACATCCAAAAAACCAAGGAATTCATAGTGGACTATAGGAAAAAAAGAGCAGACATTCAGGCACTGTATATAGATGGAGTTTGTGTGGAACAGGTGGTTGAATGTAAGTTTCTTGGGACTATCATAACAAATGACCTGACTTGGAGTGCAAACACCGCTGCGTTAATCAGGAAGGCACAACAACGGTTGTATTTTCTAAGGATTCTTAGAAAGCAACAATTGACTGAGAGTTTGTTAATCAGCTTCTATCGGAGTTCGATTGAGAGCATATTATCCTACTGTCTCTGTGTATGGTTCACGAGCTGCACAGTGGCAGAGAAAAAGGCAATTCAAAGGGTGATTAAGACGGCCCAAAACATCATTGGCTGTTCACTCCTCTCTTTGGATGAATTGTATAAGAACAGATGTAAGAGGAAGATATCTAACATACTGAAAGACTCCTCTCATCTGGGATATCAGCTCTTTAAACTATTACCATCAGGAAGGAGATTCAGGGTATTGAAAGCAAGGACAAGCAGATTCAAGAACAGTTTTTACCCAAGTGCAGTATTGAGTTTAAATGCGGGGCCATAGGTTTTTGGTGGAATTTTAATAGCTGAGAGAAAACAGGGTATCTATATTTGGATGGTGAAAGTTGTGTATATTTTAACTTTTTTTGTAGTATTGTCCAGTTTTACCTTGGGGAAGAGCACCACATTTCGTTGCACCCACTTGTGAGCGCAATGACAAATAAATTTCTTATGTCTTATGTCTTACTTGTTATGCTAGAGGGATTGTAGATACCCGGTTTCTTTAGCATGCCTTTGAGGGACTGTAAGGTTTCTCTATATCCTTTTATGCGTGAAACAACTTCAGTCTGTTTGTTGAATGGAATATGAAACTATACATATTATTATACAAGTCTGTGGACTGTTTTGTTCTAATACTCAGTTAGTGTAGAGTTGAAAACCACAACTAGGATTGAGCTGGTATGTTGAAATGTTGGTGCAAAAAAAATGCTATCACCAGAAATAGGGGCCAGTGCCTGTCAGCTGGGTATTCATGGGTTAAGTCTGAAATGTTCACAATCTTCAGGCAAGAACTTTCAACATGTTTTATTAAAGAGCAGCCAAATCCTGTTGCTTAGGATAGTAAATCATACTAGAGAAAGATCACAGAACAATGGGGATTTAGTGAGTCAAATCCTCTGTACATCCTATTGATACAAATAGACCTAATTGTGTTAGCATAGTAAGTCACAACGTGAGTAGGCCCATTTGATGTAATGGCACTTATGAAGGAGCTGACTCACCAAATTCCAAGTGGACTTACTCTAATGTGTTTTACTACACTAAGCAACAGGATTTTGGTCAGTGAGGGACAAATCTGGCAATCTGCTTACGTAGAATACTGTTACATATTGCTTCTTGTTCCTCCAAAACTTTGTCCATTCTGTTCTCTCACTGCTTTGTACACTAGCCCTTTCTG